TACGAGCTCTTGCTCCGCGCCTCGCGCGGCCCGCGCCTACGTGCTCTCACTCCGCGCCCGCTCGGCCCGCGCCTACGAGCTCTTGCTCCGCGCCTCGCGCGGCCCGCGCCTACGTGCTCTCGTTCTACGCCTCGCGCGGCCCGCGCCTACGAGCTCTTGCTCCGTACCTCGCCAATCTTACGCGGTAGGAAACGGTGCGGGGGTGACGTCGACGCGTTACGATGGAGGCCACCCTCACGAGGCACTCCGCCACAAAGGGCTACATAGACAGGTTCTGGGACAACCTTGTCAAGGTTGGCAAGGACAAAATCACCCAGGCGTACCTTAAGACCAGGTTGGCTCTGTTGGAGAGTTACTGGCAACGCTACCAGGAGATTCACTACGACATAATTGGCTCTGAGGGCGCTGAGGTGGAGGCCTATAAGGATAGCGACGACTATACCACCACGGAGGACAGTTATGTGCTCTTCAAGGCACGGATCGTCTCCGCGATGAAGGAGGAATCGCCGCAGCCGAAGCAGGAGACTTCGGCTTCCGCGGTCTCCTTCGCTAAGCAGATCCAGCTGCCGAAGATCAGCCTGCCGACCTTCTCCGGGGACCTGCTGGCATGGGAGAGCTTCCGAGACCTCTTCCAATCGCTAGTCAGCGGCGTTCCCGACCTAGCCCCTGTGCAAAAGCTGCAGCACCTCAAGTCCAGCCTATCGGGCGAGGCTGCTGCGGCTGTCCTCAACGTGGAGATGACCGACCGTGGTTTCGACTTGGCGTGGACTGAATTGAAGGAGCGCTATGACAACCGGCGAGTCTTGCTGGCCAGTCACATGCGCAACTTCCTGAATGGGCCATCGAGCGCGAAGCCTTCCTCCGCTGACCTTAAACGGCTGAGCAGTTCCGTGTTGCAGGCCAAAAGGTCGTTCGAGTCACTTGAACGTCCGGTCGCTCATTGGGACGATTGGTTCGTCCACGTGGTGGTCGAGAAGATGGACCCGTCGTCGCGCCTCTTCTGGGAGGCCTCGTTACAGACCACCACGGACTTTCCGACACTGGCCCAGCTCCAGGACTTTCTGCAAACTCGCATTCGGGCGCTGGAGGCAGCCAGCGTCAAAACCGTCTCGTCAGCCGTCGCTCCGGGCCGGACCGAGAAGAAGAAGGTGAACGCGCTCACGGCGTCTACCACGGGCAAGTCAGCTAGCCGCTGCGGCCTTTGCCAGGGTAACCACCTTTTTAATTATTGCTCGCGTTTCAAAGCGCTCTCGGTGTCCCAGCGACGGGACCACGTCAAAAAGCAGGGTGCGTGCTTCAACTGCCTCCGGCTAAAGCACGCGGTGACCGATTGCCCGTCTAGCTTTCGGTGCTCGCGCTGTGGCGAGAAGCACCACACACTGCTCCATCCTCCTGATGCTGACTCCGCCTCGGGACAAGATTCTGCGGCAAAGGGGAAGGACCCCGGCTCGACTTCGAGCGCGAACACCGAGCCCGCGGTGACCACCAACGTGGCGGCGCTCACGAGCTCTGTGGGGACCCGGATCCTGCTGTCGACAGCCCGATTGGTTTGCTCAAACCCTGAGGGTGGCGCGGTCACTGTGCGGGCTCTCTTGGACTCGGGGTCGGAGGCCTCTTTTGTGACAGAGCGGGTCGCACAGCGTCTCGGCCTGAACCGGAGGCGCGTGCATATTCCTGTGTCCGGCATACAAGGAACTACCTCGGGCGTTGCCACTCACGCGGTCGCCTTGACAATCGGGTCATCGCGGGACCGCGGCGTGCGCCTGCATCTGCCATTCGCGTTGGTTTTGCCTCGGCTCACCTCTCTTCCAGCATGTAAAATGCAACCGCACGCGTGGCCCCACCTTGTGGGCCTGACGCTCGCCGACCCAGAGTACGACCAGCCCGCCCCGGTGGACGCCATCCTGGGGGCGGACATCTTCAGCGCTCTTCTCCGAGAGGGACTCAAACGGGGGCCCGAGGGATCCCCTTCGGCTCAGGCTACCGCCCTGGGCTGGGTACTAATGGGACGAGTATCCGCTCCAGCAGCGACACAGGATCGCTCAGGCGTTTCCGTCCTCCACCTCTCCGCCTCTGGGACTGAGGTGGACTACGCCCTCCAGCGCTTCTGGCAGCTTGAGGAACTGCCAACGGAACCCGCTGCGTCTCCTGAAGACCTCTGCTGCGAGTCTCAGTTCGCGACCACTTATAGTCGCGACTCGCGGGGCCGGTACACCGTGCGGCTGCCCAGGCGTGACAGCTCCGACGTTCGTCTGAACGACAACCGCCGGGATGCGCTGAGTCTACTCACCAGCCTGGAGCGTCGGCTGTCACGCAACCCCACCTTACGGGAGCAGTACGCGACCTTCATGGACGAGTATCACAAGCTCGGTCACATGGTCGTTGTTCCGGCGACGGAGGTCCACCAACCCGGGACCCATTACCTACCGCATCACGCGGTTTTCAAAAAATCGGACGCGAACAGCAAAATTCGCGTTGTCTTCAACGCGTCCCACCGCACCTCTTCCGGTTACGCGCTTAACGATCTGCTCCTTCCAGGTCCGAAACTGCAGTCTGAGCTCTAGGCGATCTTGTCGCGGTGGCGCCTCTTTAGGCACGTTTTCACGGCGGACATCGTAAAGATGTTCCGTCAAATTTTAGTGCACCCAGAGGACACCGACCTGCAGCGAATCCTGTGGCGACCGGACCCCGCCCAGGAGGTGCAGGACTTCCGCCTGCTGACGGTCGTCTATGGCACCGCGGCGGCGCCTTACTTGGCGCTACGGACTCTCCTGCAGTTGGCCGAGGACGAGGGGCCGTATTACCCCCGCGGGGCGGACGCCATTAGGTCCCACTCGTACGTGGATGATATCCTCGCAGGCGGTCACACACTCACGGAAGCAGTGGAGTCCAAGCGGCAGACCGAGGCGATCCTCGCCGCCGGTGGATTCGAGCTTAGTAAATGGGCGTCCAACGCGCCGGAGCTGGGCCCTGTAGCGGACAACGACAAGTTGTTTTGCGACCGCGAGGGGGTTTGCACGCTGGGGGTCCTGTGGATCCCTCGGGAGGACAGCTTCGCTCTACGCTTGGCTCCCGTCTCGACAGCGCGAACCTGCACCAAGAGAACAGTGCTCTCGGAGGTGGCCCGCTTCTTCGACCCCTTCGGTTGGGCCGCTCCGGTCCTGGTGTACGGGAAGATCCTTATCCAGGACTTGTGGATGGCCGGGCTGCCTTGGGACGAGCCTTTGCCGGACAACCTGAGGACGACTTGGACAGCGTTCGCTGAAACCTTGCCCCAGCTGAACCGGCTGCGCATACCACGCTACGTGGACTTTCCTGGGCCAGGGGGCGAGGTCGAGCTTCACGGCTTTGCCGACGCTTCCAGCCGTGCCTATGCCGCCGCGGTTTACCTGCGGTGTGCGACTGCCCCCGGTGGCATGACGGTCAGGCTCCTGATCGCCAAAACCAGAGTGGCACCGGTCAAGCGGCCTTCGATACCTCGTCTGGAGCTTTGCGGCGCGGTCCTCCTCGCTCGACTCATGCGCAGCACCGCCCGGGCACTGGGTCTTGAACATGTCCCAGCCTTTGCGTGGACGGATGCCACCGTTGCGCTGGCGTGGATCCGGTCCCATCCGGCGCGCTGGAAGCCCTTTGTCGCGCATCGAGTGGCGGAGGTGCAGGATCTTGTGCCTCCTGCGCGATGGAGGTACGTGCCGACCAGGGACAATCCAGCCGACGCGGCCACACGAGACATCTCCTGCGACCCTGGCGGACCTCCACAACTGGTGGTCTAGACCACCTTGGCTCTCCGAGCCGGACTACGCGGTCACCGAGCCGAGCCAGCCCGATCATGGTGTCGGGGAGGAGGAACTCCGTCCAAGGGCGACCCTCATTGCGAGGCCGGAGGAGCCGAACGACGTACTGCGCCGTTACTCCAGTCTTGACCGACTGCTGCGAGTGTCGGCAATCTGCCTCCGGTTCCTCTACAACGCACGACACCCTCGGGGAAGGCGGACGGGC